TGAGAAATGTAGATTGAGGTAGCAGAGAGCATCCGGTGGGGTTGCTACAATAATCTTGGCCCTATTTACTCTCAATATTATTGGGTATGAACATCCATTGGAATTGTTGAATATATGACTGTCTCTCTTGTACGAAAGAAAAATTTTCTTGTTTACTATCCACTGGTCGAAATCATTTCTTTCGGCATTAATACCTTTTGTCAAAAGTTTGTCATCGTCATCATGTGATTCGTCACACAATTGGCTAATTACAAAATTTGGAAAAATTTCAGCATAAATCAACTGATTGATTTTTGGTTAATTTTTGATTGAGTTGTAACATAAAAAAAAACATAAATCAACCAGTATTTTTTTTTATCAATGTTTTTATTAACAATACGATCGACTTGGAATATTTGGCCTTAATACAAATTGGCCTATATTTGATGATTTATGATTGAATTATGTTACTAATTAAATGTTATACATTACACGATACGTCATACGTGTATTAAAAGTTTAAAAAAGGATCATCTTATGCATCCTTTTTTAAACTTTTTTAATTTCTTCCTTTCCTTTCCCTTTCCTTTCCCTTTCCTTTCCCTTTTTCCCCTTTTCCTTCCTTCGTTCTCCTTTCTCTTCCTTCCCTTTTCACTTCCTTTCATCCCTTTTTTTTAATAAAATATAAACAGTTAATACAGGACCCCAAACAATATATATAAAGGTAGGTTTTGAGTTTACTTAACTAACATATAAAAATCTTTCCTATGTGAGATTTATTATTGCTTATTTGATAACATAATTTTAAAATAGTTAGATATAATTATACGTAGCAGAGTATTAAATTATTAATAGTCAGATATATATTTGCGTAGGAGGATAGAATTTTTTAATATATATAATATAATATATATTTTACATTTTTCACATTAAAAAAATCTAATAAAATATATAAACAAAATTATAAACATGTTTGTGTAAAAAAAATTTACTATTTTTAATACAAAGATTAAATTAATTGTATACGTAATACAGGAATCATTTTTAGATGTGATCGTGTAATGTGTTTTTAATAAAACAAATACGCATCCATGTAACATTAAAATTATAAATTATACATACCACCCAAATTATTTTGGGCTGCCGTAATTATAAGTAAAATCCCAAATTCAATTATGACATCCCAAATTATTTTGGCACTTTACATAGTAAATTATATATAAATTAAATGAATTACGACATCCCAAATTATAATTATGGCATCCCAAAATAATTTGGGCAGCATGTATATTATAAATCATATACATGTTCGTATAACAGTTAAAAAATATATATTGAAAATGAGAGCAAGAAAAATAAGTGTTTTTCTGTTTTTTTATAATTTTACACTATAATTTTTGTAATAATCAATAAAAGTTATTTCATTTTTACTTAGAAAATTTTTTAAAAATATTTTTTTTGACAAATTTTACAGTAAATTTTAAAAATAAAAATTCCATGTATTGGTGACATTACAAAAAACATAAATAAATCCATAAATATCTATTCAATCATGATAAAAATTTATACAGTATGTAAGTAGATTTGAACCTGCTAAATAACTTTACTTAAGAAGATTTTGGATGTTTCTTTTGACTAAAGTGCCTAAATTATGCTCTGAAGTCACAGAACAGATATACGAAATATTAATAAGAAACATTTATAACACAGGTCGAAAAGTGAAAAATCAGGCACCAATCGGTCACCAATCAGGTAGCTGATTGGTGACTGATTGGTGACTGATTGGTGCCTGATTGATGCCTGATTTTTCACTTTTCGACCTGTGTAAGTTGTAATATTACAAAAAAATAATAATAGCTTTATCCATACATTATTTCAAAAATTTTTGTTTTTTTAGTTTTTTTTATATACATATTTTATAAAAATAATTATATATAAATATATAGAGTAAATTTATTTAACGCTCCCCGTGTTATAACGCATCTTCACGTGACCTATAATTTTTGCTAAAATTATTGGCCAAAATTAAATCAAAATTTAAAAACCTTTTTTGGATTCGCATAATATCACGTGATCTGATGAACTTCAGATGTTCGTATCGAAAATCAAAGTTCTTAAAAAACCATAAATTAATCATGAAATAGACCGCAAATGGTACAAAACACCCATGATAACTTTATTAAATTATATTAAACATAATGAAGTTACATTAGTTGTATTAGCTATCAATAAAGTATAATCTATTAATCTTTCCATCATATTATCACTATTTTCTTCGCTTCTAATACACTTACAATTTGTATAACAAGTCCTTCTTTTTGAACTTTTACATCATTCTTTTAATTACAATATTATCACAGTTGATCAATATTAAAGCCATCATTTTCGATTAGGACATCTAGGAGCATAATGCCTCATTTTATAACATACGCTGCACTTTTGCCCATTATTTATATTTTCGCAATCATTTCGCATATTTTCTTTTTATACTTTACTAGTACTCGCATTATTATTTTCTTCATTACGACCTTTCATTCATTTAGTGGTGGGTCTACCTTTACAATTATGCCTTGTCGGATCCTTAATACTATCAATATCATAAACGCGTCCATCATATAATTCAATCACGTTTGAATTTCTATGTTCCTCTAAAATATTGTTTCCAATTGCGCCATAGCTTCCCGTTTTGCTTGCTTTTCGGAAATATAAGCTAAGATAATATCATCCAAACTTTGTTGATCATTATCTTCTAAAGAATAATCCACTGCTTTCTTAAAATGACCCATAAGTCAACCATAATCGACTTTTTTTTGTACGTGATTTCTAATTTGAACTTCTTGAATGTTATCATAATGCATAGAAATAAAATTGGCTTGTTGAACTGTATTATTATTTTGAATCTGTTTTAGGTTTTTGGATGATGTTCCAATAAATAGTTCGTTAAAAATAGTATTAACGTGATTCCAAGCATCATCTTGAAGCCATCTTGTTGGCACTAATAATAAATGAAACAGCGCATTTGAATTTTCAACCATCAACTTGAAATAATGTCTACATATTATCCCATACGAGACATATGGGCTGATTTGTTGTTTGTTTTTTATTTTTTTTATTAGTGATAAATGTAAAGATCAATACATATGGAAAGTCTAATGACTTATGATATATAGGAAGGCAGGCAATAAGGTGAACTAAAACGAATACTATCCAACTAGTTTCTATATAAGTTCTGTTTAATATCTACATTATAGTATTATAATCCTTAATTGCCGGTCCGCCACTCAACGGTACAAAATGATCGGCAATCTATAATTAATTTCGACAGACTTTTATATATTAAATACTATTGCTCTGGAATGGTGTTTGCACTATCTTAAAAACACGTCACAACAACATAAATACTTCAAAAATTTGCTAGAAAAAGGTATTACATTACCTGGGTGTGTTTTCCAAAACCGGTAAGATCAAGGTGTGCCAAAAAAAAACTAAAAAAGAAAAATAAAAAAATATATTTTTTTTTTTGTTATTTTGTTAATTTGGTAAAAAAATAATATATATTTTTCAATAGTGTAAAAAAAAACCTCGTAAAATTTGCAAAATTCGTGTATAAAAAATCTTATCTTAGCTAAAATATAAGGTGGAATGGTGACTTCCTCCAAGGTAAACTTGTTAAATTCTATATCGAACGATAAAAAAATTTTTTTTGTGGCTTATTCACGTTTAATGTTATTGATTGGTGAGTCATCGTTACATTTAAACGTGACCTTGTGGAACAAAATCGACATCAAAATATGCCAATTAACGTAATTCATATAAAATCTGCGTCGGATCTACAAATTAATTTTGTACCTTTGAGTGACGGACTGGCAATTAATTTGGAAAAATGACCTATTTTTTCTGCCCTAAAAACCTGACTAGGATAAAATTAGTTTTTTATTTATCGCACTAAATAAAGTAAAATAATAAATTTGTGAAACTTAAATTAATCTAAACTAAATTAATTTACGCAAAACATCTATAATTTCCGCTAAGACCTTCGATCTTGATGCTTTACGGGATTTGTCTTTTTTATCCTTCTTGGATTTTTTATCAGACTTCGTCTCTTGTAGTTTCTTCTTGGAATTCTTCAAAGAATTCTGCTGTTTTTTCTGGGTCTGTTGACTTCCTGAAGTTCTTTAGTTCTTGTTGGTATTATTACCTTGTGACCTTGTTGGTTACTTTGGAAGTACATGTCGATTCTAAGACAGGTTCACTTATTCCCAAGTATATTGATTATCTAATGCTGTGCGCATATCAACCCACTTTTCAAAATAACTAATAAACTTATGATCTTCCTTAGCTGTTTGTATAATTTTAAAACTTTTCAAACCTTTTACGGCAGAAAGGAATGAATGTGGGTGGCTATCTTTTCATAAAGCTGCTAACGTCATAGAATCTGGAATGTTTCTAATCGTAACTTGAAACTTCTCACATTGTTTTTTTTTTTGAGAGTCCACTTAGCTGGAAACTACCGTACAGGTATCCCCCCTAAATCTGTAGTCTACACAGGATTTTCATTAACTTCAAATTGGGCTAGACGAAAGGTACTCAATTCTATTGACAAATGAACTGTCTAGTATTTTCTTTGTCATTTCGTTTGCATACTAATAGTTTTTTTCCATAGAGTTAATTATTTTAGAATTTTCTCTGGCGTCCAGAATACTAAAATATAATATACTAAAATGTCTCTGACTCGCAATGTATCCTCATTGGTTGGTATATGACCTGTAATAGCTTGTTGAACTAAATGTTTATTCGACTTTTTCTTTTTATTCGAAGATTTTGTCAAATCCATTATGATGTTCTGTAATTGAGGAATTGCCTGCAGCAATGGCATATTTTCAATCTGTTTCATAACTGGTATATCTATGATGATTTCCATTTTTGATGAATGATTAACATTTGGGCTGTTATCAAGATTAATTCCAGATTTGATCATTTTCATTAGATCTACAATTGGTTGATCAATTGAGATCATCTCATCAGCGGGCAGCGGCTTTCTCCATCAGTTCATTAATTGTTTGATCTAATAGATCATCAGAATATCTCCCATATTGGTAAGTAAAATCTGAATCAGAATTATGGCGTTGGACTTTTTTCTTTTTTTTCTTATCTTTTTTAGACCTGTGCTTTATTTCTGTCTTAGATTTTTCCTTTTCAGAAGTTTGCTCTGAATAACGCTTTTTTGCTTTTTGGATCTCTTCTTCTATTTTTTGCTGTTTCAAATCCATAGAAGTCACATGTTTTGCTATTGATGTTGCCAACATATTTCTTCTATTAGCCATTGAACGCTCTGCTGCGATAAAGCCCTTTACGGCAGAATATATAGCAGTGTGTAAAAAAAAAGCAAAACTTTCTGGAGTCATTTGATAACAAAAGGCCCTTGGTCCCCAACTATTTATGTCTTCGTCTGTTAAACCGAAATTATTCTGTAATATATTACGTTGAACTTCTATATCTCTTCCGGTAAAAAACTGAGCGGCAAGACCTTCACTAAAATTTAAATAATTTATATATGTGGTTTGTAAAAAAATTTGTTGTTCTGTGCCTTCAATAAGTGGAAACTTATTTTTAGCTATTTGTATATTTCATTTATCTTCCATTTTTTTTAAAAACTTAAGCAAAATAAAATTTTACTGTGGAATTGTTATGTTTTTAAAATTTTTGGAAAAGAAAGCATGAAAAGCAAACATCATATTTACAAGTAATTTTGGAAAACAAAAAACAGATTTACTTATTTTCAGATTATTAATCATTCAAATGCAAATAAGCTTTTGAATATTAAAGTATTTAAATCTCTATATAGATCTATAATAAAATATGTAGTTAGTAATATAAATAAACTATTAATTATAACAGAATTCTAAACATTATTAAAAAACTTAAATTTGAATTTGTATAAACCTTATAATTAATTTCTGTTCCAAATGTATTAAGTTATATATAAATTTTAGCTTTAAATTTTGCTATTTCAGGATCTAGTGATTAGATTTTAATAATCTTTAACTTGTTAGATTTGTCTTAATAAAATGACCATTTTGACATATAATTCATTTTTTAAGGTGTAATATTGACAGAGATATAACATTTTGAAATTTTGATTATATAGAATTTGAATTATTTTAGTAATGTTCAGGTTCTATTATCATATCGGCTTATTATCGGAATTGGACCAAAATTAAGGCCCCAAATTACTATTAAAATTGCATGTGACCATCGTAAATGTTACACAACAATCATATGTCAAGCATTAGACTCTCTCACCGAAAAACCCTAAAAAAAAAAAATTTAATAGTAACTATCGCGTCAAACCAATCTCCTCCCTACGAAACCAATCTCCTTTAAAGGTAAATTATGTTGAGTGTACTATTCTATTTCTATATACAAAAAAATATTTTTTAACTTTATTTAAACTACATTTAGTAATTCAAAAGTAGTTTGCTTGTAAAATTTTTGTTATTTGTAAATTTCGTGTATTAATTTGAATAAAGTTTACAACAGTGTTTAATATTTTTAA